GGTGGCTAACACCCCAGAGGACAGGATCACACTTCAAAATGACCTTGACAGATTAGAGAACGGGGCAAAAACAAACAAGATGAATTTTAACAGGGAGAAATGTAAAGTACTGCACTTGGGCAAAAAAAATGAGAGGCACAAATACAAGATGGGTGACACCTGGCTTGAGAGCAGTACATGTGAAAAGGATCTAGGAGTCTTGGTTGACCACAAACTTGGCATGAGCCAACAGTGTGACGCGGCAGCTAAAAAAGCCAATGCAATTCTGGGCTGCATCAATAGGAGTATAGCATCTAGATCAAGGGAAGTAATAGTGCCACTGTATTCTGCTCTGGTCAGACCTCACCTGGAGTACTGTGTCCAGTTCTGGGCACCACAGTTCAAGAAGGACACTGACAAACTGGAACATGTCCAGAGGAGGGCAACCAAAATGGTCAAAGGCCTGGAAACGATGCCTTATGAGGAACGGCTAAGGGAGCTGGGCATGTTTAGCCTGGAGAGGAGGAGGTTAAGGGGTGATATGATAGCCATGTTCAAATATATAAAAGGATGTCACATAGAGGAGGGATAAAGGTTGTTTTCTGCTGCTCCAGAGAAGCGGACATGGAGCAATGGATCCAAACTACAAGAAAGAAGATTCCACCTAAACATTAGGAAGAACTTCCTGCCAGTAAGAGCTGTTCGACAGTGGAATTTGCTGCCAAGGAGTGTGGTGGAGTCTCCTTCTTTGGAGGTCTTTAAGCAGAGGCTTGACAACCATATGTCAGGAGTGCTCTGATGGTGTTTCCTGCTTGGCAGGGGGTTGGACTCGATGGCCCTTGTGGTCTCTTCCAACTCTATGATTCTATGATTCTATGACTTTATGGTTAAACCGTTCCTGAGTTTTTCTTTAAGTGATGAGTACAATATTTTTCTCTGCACAACTGACAGTTTTGTTTTAAGAATTCCCATAATTTTCCATACCCCCCGTTATGTGTTAAGAGTTCTTTGTTTAGAAAGAAAAGAATAAGAATGAAAAGAAATTCACCTCCAGCTCCACATGTTTAGGAGCCTCAAAAGCAAGAAATAATAAATGGATTTGAAATGGCAGTCAAATCATCAGCAAGCCTCTAGCTGTAACTGATTTTTTTTACCACATTTAATTATTTGATGCAATTGAGTATACCGCGATCTATAGTTCTCTCTAAGGTCTTAGAAAAGAGTTTCTTCTCAGTCCTACAAAGAAAGTGCAGGGGTTGAATCTGGAAACTTCTTCTTGTGACTTATGTGCTCTACCACTGAGTTATGATGACTATTGAATCTGGCACCTACTTGGCCAATACAGGAATACGGGCAGTTAACTCATGCATTATTCCTTCTGACTAGCTCAGGAGTGCCTGCATGTGCCAACAACCTTTTCTAGTGTGGGGCTGTATCCTGTTTCCAAACCTGGGAGATTCAGGCTGTTAAGGCAGGAGCTGATGATCTTTGAGGGCCAGTCGGCACATCTGGAATTTTAGATATTGTCTGCACCAGTCACAAAATGGCTGGCATGGGGGTATGGCATAGCTCAAAATGGTTCCCACATCTGAAAAAACATAAAAAGTGATAGGACCACAAAAAGGTGTAGGCAGCCTGATGGATACAGATGAGAAGTATGGAATGTTCACAATGGCATGGGTCAAATCCATACCATACATTTATTTATTTTTAAAAAAATAATTTTTATTGAATGATTTTATGTTACAAAAAACAATACAGCCATACTACCACTAAATATAATTAAGAAATAAAAATTACATACATCAATATTTAGTTTGTTATTTGTTATTTACCGTCTTATTTCCTCCCAAACATTGCATACAACACACATATGTGCAGACACCCACTCACCCACACCTGCACACAAAATGATAATAATGAAAGTAAATATTATTTCCCCTTTTATCTTCCAAAATCTTTTCTTCAACTTTGACTTCCTGTCAAGTCCCTTTGCATATATTTTATCTTACACTGGAATGTACACAAAACAATAAACCTTTCTATATATTTTTTCTAATACATTCTGAAAACATAACAAATCCTTAATTGTTGTCCACCTCCTTTTAGTTCCTTTATCACTCGAATGCTAGCACGGAGTCAAAACTATTATTGTATTTTTGAACATATCTTCTATAACCATCCCATTTTTCCGCAGACTTTTGCTTGGAGTTTCCTCTGAGTTTACTAGTCAGTTGAGCCGTCTCCACCAATTCCTGTAATTTGATTTGCCAATCTGTTATTTTTGGAGCCTCGTGATCTTTCCATCCCTTGGCCACAATACCATACATTTAAAGCACTCTTATTCCAATTTAGTAGCTATAACTTTACCCTAAATAATTCTGGGAATTGTATCTCTGTGAAGGGTAAACTTGTAATTCCCAGGATTCTTGGAGTGGGAAGCCATGGCTATTAAGGCATACCCTCCAACATTTCTCCAATGAAAACAGGGACATCTGTTAAGGTGGTATGAATGTGTCTTAAATGCACTGTGTGGGTGTGACTAGGGTCATCATTAATTCCCCCCCCCAAAAAAAAACTTGTACCAAAACTGTGTTGAAACCGCCAGGGCAACGTTGGCAAAATGGCTGTGTGGATATTTCAAAATAGCCAGCAGCTGGCCTCCTATCCATATTCAAATCATCAATGTTCACATGAGGAGAACAAAATAGGGATGCAGGCATGGCCAATGCAAATTTTCCATGTAATTTCCCTGAATGCCGGTATAATGAGTCTCCTGCTATTGCCCTATTCATAGCCACAGTATGCGCATTGCACTGAAGTCAGCCGGTTGCAGAGAAGCAGGTTACCGGCAATATGAGAATGATTTAACTGGCTGCATAGGGAAATGCCCTTTGTCTTGCAAGCCCTCTTTATCTAGCCCTTGAGACTCTCTTCAGGCCATGGCCCAACCTAGGCCGCTGCCATTTCTCACTGTTCTTGCTTTGGTCCCCACCCCCTGACAACTGCTTGACTTTTCTCTGTCTGGTTGGAATGTGCTGCTGAGTGTTGAATTGTTTCTTTAAATGTAAAGGTTCATCATTGTTCCACCCGATGTGTATGTCTTTAAGGGGCCAGAGCAAGGGCCAGAGCAAGGGCCAGAGCAAGGCCCAGTCTTACAGCTGTGAAACATAGCAGGTGCTGCTGAGTTGTATTGATTAAGCTGTGTCAGCAATTGGGTATAGTATATAAGGAGCAGCACCTAGTTCTCCCATTACCCTGGGGGATGGGTTGGTGGTTGGGTCTGGTTTGTTGTTGATGTATTTAGTGTATAAGGAGTTTTTGTTTTTGTTATTAAAACCTTGTTTAAGTTATTTTTGAGTCCTTTTTAATGCATGGTCTCCCCAGCAAGCTCTCTGCAGCGCTACTACACTGCAAATAGCCAACACTGAGCTGTGGCAATGACCTGGTTTGCCTGGGTGGAGGACTGAGAGATTGTGGGACAGAGTGTGGTGTAGTGGTTAAGAGTGATAGACTTGTAATCTGGTGAACCGGGTTCGCATCTCTGCTCCTCCACATGCAGCTGCTGGGTGACCTTGGGCCAGTCACACTTCTTTGAAGTCTCTCAGCCCCACTCACCTCAGAGTGTTTGTTGTGGGGGAGGAAGGGAAAGGAGAATGTTAGCTGCTTTGAGACGCCTTCTGGTAGTGATAAAGCAGAATATCAAATCCAAACTCATCTTCTTCTTTAAAAAGGATGGACTGAAAAACAAAAATATCGCCATTTATTCATCTACTCCATTTATTTGTGGCTTCATTAGAAAAAGAAAATATTTTAAGGACATATAGTGATGATATCAATCAAAATTAAAGCAAAGCAAGCTCCGCCATTCAACAACAAAACCCACTCACAGCAATGTTTCAATAGTCTTGTCAATGAGTAAAATAAGGTCACTTGCTTTGGGGTATTAGAATTGGACAAAAGACTAAACTTCCCTACTTCTGCACTTATTGTGGCTCCAATCCAAATCAGATTGGATGCTGCACATACACATCCTCTGGTGAGAGCTTTAAGGAAAGGAAAAAAGACACTGGGATACCCAGTAATAAATTTTGTGGGTAATGTGTGGTTTGGCCCTTAGCGTTAGTCCTACGTTTTATGAATGTAAGAACAGGCATGAAGGCAGAACATAGTCATCAGGGGTAGCAGCTGTTGACAGCCTTATCTTCCATGATTTTGTATCATCCTCTCTTAAAGCCATCCAAGTTGGTGGCCTGATGGCTGCCTCTTGTGGGAGCAAGTTCCATAGTTTAATTATGTACTTTATGAAGGAATACTTTCTTTTATCTTCCCACACTTAGCCCCATTGGATATCTTCATGTTCTAAGTTTGTCCCTGGGCAATGTGTAAAATGAACCACAGTATCGGCAAGGACTTGGGTCGCTATATAGTCCACATCTCAGTGTAGGATCTACAGTGCAGGATCTTAATGCAATATGCTGGATGGCTGCCCAGCCAGCTTTTGACTGATTTCAGCAAAGGAGAGCTGAAAACAGTGCTGATGCAGCTTTCTCCCTTGTCTGTTCTATGGCTGTCACTCAATGTATTCCTTTCCTCTTCTTTCCTATGAGTGCCTGTGAAGCTGCCAACCAAATACTCAACGTGCATAATTGAATAAAGTTTCTATTGATTTCAATGGAAAAACAGTTCCATGGTTTGGTACAAGATCAAAAGTCCAGTCTGTCCAACCCCTTATTGCCAGGCAGGTCCATCCATTCACATGCTATCAGCCCACTGATCAACTTATGTAAACCAGGACACAGGCTGCGCCACCAGCAAAGTGTATGAGAAAAGTACTGATAAACCAAATAATTCAAGATGTCTCATGCAAACCACAAAATCACTAATTTTTATTAATCTATCCTTGGCAAAAATTATTCCTTGACATGACAACAAACTATAATAATAGAAGCAGAGAACTGTAGAATTGGAAGGGACCATGAGGGTTATCCGGTCCAATCTACTGCAATGCAGGAATCTTTTGCCCATTGTGAGTCTTGAACCCACAACACTGAGATTAAGAGTCTCGTGCTCTACCAACTGAACTACCTGTCCTCTCCAACCTGATGCCCTCCAGATGTTGTTGGACTATAAGTCCCATCATCTCTGACCATTCGCCTTGCTGGCTTTCTGGGTGGGTATGTGTTAATAATCTGTGATTGTATCTGGGCCTGGACCTACACATTAATGGAATATACCCAACAGCTTTCCACTGGGGTAATGAGGCCCACCTCTGGTGTAAAGTATGGAAAAATCAATTTCCCTTCCCAGTTCTAATTTTTGGATTGTTAGGAGCTGCAAAAATGTATATGTATGGTACTAAGGCTGCACAATATTAATTGATAGTGCATTTAGAAACCCTCAAATTATGTCCTCATTATTACTGAAAAGTGCTGTAATTCATTCATGCACCTTATTCCAAAGCCTTTTGTTAGTACGAAAACCTAAATGCATCTTTTAACTATCTATTGTTCCTGATAATAATCAGTGCTGTCAACACTGAAGGTGATACTGCTAGCTTGCCACACAGCACCCATCTCGTATCACAAACCACATCTTACAACATAGGCAGGAGCCCATGATTAGCATTATTTTATGGGACTGGATGGGGGGAAAAAATGCATAGCAACTCAAGAGGGGAGAAATACAGAACTGAGCCATAAATGTTTGCCCACTTCTGGACTAAGTGGTGATTAGACTGGTGGTGAAGTTCCAAAGCGGTCAGACTTCCTTTTTTCATGTGTAGTCCCAGTAACACTGCAGTGCTTGGGGGGACGGGAGACCTGCTATTCTGACTAGAATTGCAATTGGATCTAGAAAAACAAGTATATTTCATCAGCTTCGTCACCCTCCACATATTGAACAGGTAACTCCTGCAGCCGAGAGACTTGTGAATGCTCACAATACATTCTAGAACCCTGATTGTGCAGGGATTTAAAATACATCGCGAACACCCACAAGTACTTTCTTCCTCATATGACTCTAGCTGCATAGGGGAAGACAAACATGAGTCTACAAGGCTACCCAAAAGTGTTCTGTTCATCATGTAAAAATATAGGTAATCTAAGCTGTGAAGTGTACCAATGAAGAAAATGAAGACACTGGGAAAGAAACATAGAAACAAGGCAATTCCTGACTCCTGTTGTTCTACTGTGACAGTGTGGCATAAGATTTCTGCCTGGCATATAATGAGTTTCACAATTTACGTAAAGGTGGAGTTTTAGACAACTATCTCCTCGTGAAACCTTATAGGAGTGCTGTGCCAACTCAGAAACTCATATAAATCTATACCAGCTCTTATGAAGCATCTTATCAGTGTAATATAGACAGAGGCCTCTTAATTGAATATCACTTCAAATGCAAAACAGTTTTAAAAGGCAGTTTTATGGAAATCTATGATCCAATTTACCACTACTTCTCACACCCGCCCCAAAATCGGCATGGAGAAGGAAGGCTCGGTTCAAATGCACAGAAAATCTAATTGCCTCCCTATTCCTACTTGACTTCTGTAATGACTTATATAGATTTAATCAAGACTTCTCTGCACAAGAACAGCCCCCCAAACTTTCTCCTACATTTTTGCCTTTCTGTTTGGCAACTGCTAGGTTTGAAAATGCTGACTGCTGTGTTTGTTGGGAACCAATAAAAAGTCACAGACTTAATGTCAGGCTCTCTTAGACTTATTTAATCACTATGAGTGGAATGGAAGACAGATTTTGATTAAGGCCAGCCAAACCGATCAATAAAGTCCTTGAACTTGCATAAGTCACTACTGGCTACTTTCAATAAGAGTAGTGGCTTGAAGAAGAAAAAAGGGGAAGTCTTTATTCCAGTATCCCAGACAATGGATGAGGAATGATAGACTCTAGTTTGTCCCACCATTGGGTGAACTTGCAAGGTGTGGAATAATATTTGCATCTTTTCTTGACACTACTCTTCTGAAATGGTCATTCTTAACTTCATTTCCCCATTTCACTTGTGGGACTGAACAACATGACTGAAGGCTTTTATGGGGTTCGCAAAGCATAAGATGGTGAACGTCTTTAGGCTGCTTTGTTGTTCAAAAAGACAATAGAGGATACAGTATATCAGCCTTCGCCAACCTGTTGCCCCTAAGACTACAACTCCCCTTAGCTAATGGGTGTTATTTATTTAGATTATTTATATGTCACTCTCTGTGCAGACCACAGAGTGGCTTACAATAAAAAATATGCAAATGATAACTCATAAAACCCATGGAACACAATTCATTAAAAACTCATAGCAACAAATCACTGAATGGCAGTTACAAATAGCAGCAGCAATGAGGTCTCCCATCCTTCATATGCTCTCCAAAAAAGTTATGTCTTCAGCAACTACCTGAAGCTGTACATAGGCCACCATACATTTGAAGCACTATGCTACTACTTTAAACAGACATGGCTTCACCCAAAGAATTCTGGGAACAGTAGTTTGTTAAGCAACCCCTATTCCCCTCCTGGAACTACAATTTCCAGAGTTCCTTGTGAAGAGGGGTTGATTGTTAAACCACTCTGAGACTTGCAGCTTGCAGGGGGTGGATAGGAGTCTCCTAACAACTCACAGAACCCTTTGGATCCCTTCCAATCAGGATTCATGCCTGCCCATGGGACTGAAACTGCCTTGGTCGCGCTGGTCGTTGATCTCCCTGGTGGGCTAGGGACAAAGGTGAAAGCTGTTTCCTAGTTCTGCTGGATCTCTCAGCAGCCTTTGATACCATTGACCACGACATCCTTCTGGACTGTCTAGAGGGGCTGGGGCTCCTTTCTCCTGGGCCGTGTTCAGAATGTGGTGTTGGGGGATGAGTGTTCAGACCCCTGGGCTCTCACTTGTGGGGTGCCTCAGGGTTCTCCCCCATGCTTTTCAACATCTACACGCAGCCCCTGGGAGAGATCATCAGGGGGTTTGGGCTGGGTGTTAATCAGTATGTGGATGATACCCAGCTCTACCTCTCTTTGTTAATGTGTGGTGTAATGGTTAAGAGCGGTAGTCTTGTAATCTGGGGAACCGGGTTCGCGTCTCCACTCCTCCACATGCAGCTGCTGGGTGACCTTGGGCTAGTCACACTTCTTTGAAATCTCCCAGTCCCACTCACCTCACAGAGTGTTTGTTGTGGGGGAGGGAGGGAAAGGAGAATGTTAGCCGCTTTGAGACTCCTTAGGGTGGTGATAAAGCGGGATATCAAATCCAAGCTCCTCCTCCTCTTCTTCTTCTTCTTCTTCTTCTTCTTCTTCTTCTTCTTCTTCTTTCAAATCAGAACCAGTGAAGGCAGTGAAGGTCCTGTGTGAGTGCCTGGAAGCGGTTGGAGGATGGATGGTGGCTAACAGATTGAGGTTGTACCCTGACAAGACAGAAGTACTGTTTTGGGGGGACAGGGGGCGGGCGGGTGTGGAGGACTCCCTGGTCCTGAATGGGGCAACTGTGCCTCTGAAGGACCAGGTGTGCAGCCTGGGAGTCATTTTGGACTCACAACTGTCCATGGAGGCACAGATCAATTCTCTGTCATAGACCTGAGAAGAATGTGCTGGTCACTTACAAGTCCAATCCTAAACTCTCAGTAGCCTGAATGCCAAGTGTCTAGGCACTGTGGGGGTTATGAAATCCTGAGGCTGGCAAACATACACACTTCAGTGGTCAAATTAAGAAGCTTTATTAGGAATAAAAGGTAGGGGAAGAGCAGTCAGAAAGTCAACACAATAAACCTGAGTGCTGTGGCTCTACAGCTGAACTAAACCTAGCCTATTTTCTACACTTGCTTTCTTTTGCTCATAAAGAATCAGCAAGGCTGGTCAACTGCAGAGAAGATCCCATTTTGGAACCTGTTACTAGAATGGAACCTGGATCCCCTGATGTTGGGAGGGGAACAATCTTGTGGGAGTGGGGTAGCCTTGGCTCTTTCTGGTCAAGTATCTCAGGTAGGCCCCTTAAGTACCCTTTAGAATATGAAGAGGTTTGGAGACATGTGACAACCTTTCTTAGGGAAATGGTGGGAAGTTCAGGCCTTTCTTCTCAGGGACCACCAAGAAGGTCTCATGTGCTGATTGTAAAGGTCAGTTGATATGGGAAAAGATGTTTCTGTTCAACACATCAAGAGGGCACCAGGTTGATGAAGGCTGGTCTATACGTTTGCATCTATATCCCCAGTGAACTGAACCTATAAAAATGAATGAAAGCAGATCACGTTCTGTAGCGAACACCTTCTCCCTAGGCAGTTCACCGTACCATTTCCTCTGATCCCTTCCACCTTTTGATATACTGGCCCAAGTTCAAGAAGGGGAGAAGGTCAGGGTGGAGGTGCGCTACTTTAGAATCCTCAAGATCCACTGAATATGAGACTTAAACAAACAAGAAATTACTTTCATTGATTAAATGTAGATTGAATTACTGGGAAAAAATGACAGGCCCAGCTAAGGTTATGTCCTCGAGTCATTGTTTAACTCAGCGTGACAGATTCAATCTGCTCAGCCCAAAGGAAGGCCAAAGATGTCACTCATGGCTTCCACACAATGCTGGAGCCTTTCGACGAGCAAAATCGAAAAGTTGCACTTTATCAACTCACAGCCTGGAGCCAGTGTTCTCATTCAGGCTTGTGTTAGCGGAACAATGAGCTACAGCAGGGACAAGGCTGAACCGCATAATAATTATAGGCATCCCACAGGCAAAGCTATAGTTGCTTTTAAGACTTGACAGAATGTGTCTTGTAGGCATGACCTAGCAGATGGGGAGGGGAGAAGCGTCCCCCCTCCTCCTCCTTTTCATCTTTCTCCAAAGCCACCTAGGAGAGGTGGATAAAGCATCTTAATAAGGGATATATTTTCTCCTATAGGGGTAGGTTGATTACTATAAGCTGCTCTATTTATTTATTTTATTCATCTTTATAAGGGGGGGGGGGACCGCTGGTACCTTTGTGGAAGGAAGTCAAGTACAGCGAGAGGAGCAGAGACAGACCTTTCGCTCTAGCCTGCTAATTTGTGTCACCTACTGCATTGCCTTATGTATTGATGGTGGGAGGAAAACGAAGCAGAAAATTA